CTTTTTTCTTCGAGGGTTTTTCCAAATGAATTAAAACTTTGCATAAATATTCTAGTGCTTAAAACAAATACAAATAAAACATCCTACAATTTTTTTGAGCAAAGAACCAAGTAGGAAATACATTTTCAATTTTGGACTAGGAGCGACCCTAGTCAAAATCAATTTTGTCACTTTTTTCTTCGAGGGTTTATACAAATGGATTGAAACTTTGCATAAATATTTTAGTGCTTAAAACAAATACAAATAAAACATCCTAAAATTTTTTTGAGCAAAGAACCAAGAAGGAAATACATTTTCAATTTTGGACTAGGGGCGACCCTAGTCAAAATCTAGTTTTTCACTTTTTTTTTCGAAGGTTTATCCAATTACAGTGAAACTTTGTGTGAGTATACTAATATTTATACAAAACAGTTTTAATATCTAAAGCAAGAAATGTATTCTATATGTCGTCAGACCCAAATTTTATAAATTTGGTTCTACATATAAAAACAACGTGACTTAAAATTTTTCCAAAAAAATGATTTTTATTAATTCAGAAATGTGTGACCTAAGGATTAGAATGCTTATACAAAGTTTTACTGTATTTGGATTTATCCTCGAAGAAAAAAGTGAAAAATGAGATTTTGACTAGAGCTGTCCCAAGTTCATAATTAAAAATGTATTTCTACTTGGTTCTTTGGTCAAAAAAATTTTTTAGATGTTTTATTTAAATTGACATAATTCTGACATAAATCACATACCAATATTACTTTTTGTAATACATAGCTTAAAAAAAATCGAAATCTAAAATTTCGACTACCCCATCTGAATTTTGTTCATACTCTTCACTGTGGAAACCAAAAAACAAATTCTTTATCTTAAAACACTTGACAAAACAGCGACATAATTCAGAATTAATTACTTATTAATAATATTTTAACATTTACGAGAAAATGTGGTTCAAATAAGTGTGAAGTATGGCCGAGATTTGGACCAAAATCAGCTATACTGGTTCATAGTGTTCCCGGGGGTGACAAAATAAGTGTTTTTGTAGCTGACATAATTATGACATAAATTAGGTATAACTTTTGAACTGTGTCGATATGGGTCTCGGCCGTACTTCACGCCCACCCTTCAAACTTATGCTGAGCAAATCTTGGTCTATCCATAAGACTTTTGATGGTACGGTGTGAATATATCCGCATTGGGTTTCTACCCGATACACTAGTTTAAATTAAACTTTTTATTTATTTCCATTTAAATTTAAGTATGTACAAAGTTTCTATACATTTTGTTGCTTTTTGTTTTTTAAGGTTTCAGGCATTTAATTTGCCTTTTGTCTCTTAATTTTTGATTTCATTTACGGATTTTACTTTCTTTTGTCTTTCATTTGATTTATTCGGTGTTTAGACGACTGTTGAAGTTCGCTTGCAACTTTCCGACGTAGTCTTCGATGGACGGTTTTTTCACTTCTGTATGAAGATCGGTGATCCTTTCATATCTTGTTTTATTGAGAACAATTCTCAAGAATTTGTTTTGCAGTACTTGAAGTTTTTGAAGGTGGGTTTTTGCCATGCTTCCAAATGCTGGACAACCATATGTGAATATTGGTCTGATGGCTAGCTTGTAGATGAGCAGTTTGTTTCGTACGCCGAGCAGTGAGTTCCTGCTGATGAGCGGATAAAGCTGCCTTAATGCGGTGTGAGCCCTATTGGTCACATACTCCACATGCGGCTTTAATGTCACTCTCTTGTCGATCACCATTCCCAGATATTTAGCTTCTGTTTCCTATTTGATTTTTTCGTTGAGAAATTTGATGTTATTTTCTGGAAGTTGCCGGGAGTGCCTGTTTGTGATGAATAAGGCTTGAGTCTTCTGTTTGTTGAGGTTGATCTTTCATTAGTTCATATATTGTTGAACTTTTCTTCCTGTGTGCTGTAGATGTGTCACAATATCGGCCGAGTTCTCTGCAGAATGATACAGTGCTGTCTGTGTATGTTTTGATTTGGAAATACACAGTGCAGTGATCACTCATTGCCTCTGTGCATTGAAGTTCTGTTATTTCGAAGTTGGAATTCAAGAGCGTCAGGTCAATTGTTGACACTGATTTGTTTCGATCTTCTAGGTAGTACGTTGGCGAGTCAGGAAAGTAGATCATGAACTCTCCTGACATTTCCTGATTTATTTGCAACGTTGCAGTTCCATTCTCGATGTTTGGCATTGATGTCATCTTGGCATTGATCAGCATTTGTTGATGTCATCTCTCAGATGTTGATCTATTTCCCCTCCTTTGCTTCCTCCTGGGAGACTGAGAGGATGTGACAACTACCCGTGTCATTGATGAAGACTTTGATTCCAATGCATTCTATTAGTTTTGTGTTGTAGCTTGGTTGAAGCTGATGTTTTAGATTTCTTTTGACGATGATTGCAACACCACCTTTTGGTCTATCCACGCGATTCAATCGAATGGTTTTAGGAATGTTTCTGAGATGCAAGCAGACGTTTTGATTGCTTAGGTAGTCGAAGAATGCTAACATTTTGTCAGTGAGGCCGTTAGCATTCCAGTAGAGGACGTTGATACTTTGTTGTCTACAATCCATTATTGTATGCGGTGTTTTTGGCGCTTGAGCCGATTGCTTGGAGTATTTCGTCGATGAACTCTGGATTTTTGGCGATTAATTTGAGAATCTCTCTGATAAGGTACTTGCACTTTGATTCCTCTATTTCTGAGATGTTTTTATCTCTTATGCTGGTGCTTTGAGCTTGTTGATTAGTTGTTATGTTTCGATTCACTACCTCAACACTGAATGAAGGTTCTGGGAAGACTTCATTCGAGGTCTGACTTGTTGGACTGATGTCAACATCTTGCTTTAGTCAGCTTTAGTTTTTGATGTTGATTGTTATCAATGCGCTCATTTTACTTTTTTCTTTGATTCTTTTTCCAATGTTTTCCTCTTTCTTTATTGTTTTGTTGGTTGTTCAAGTTATTTTTATTTCCCTGATTTGAGGGTTTGTGATTTGGAGGAGGATTTGTGTTCCTTGGTTTGTGGTTGACTGGAGCTTGTTTTTAATGAACAGGCTTTTGTGTACCTGATGTTGATGGTTCCATATGATCCTTTCTCCGTTGAGGTTTTGGTGCATATTGGACGTTTCTGGTTGATCGCTCAGGAAGATGATGAATTGGAGGATTGTTTCTCCGTTGTCCATATGAATAATGGTCTGCTGTTTTGTTTTGATTTTGGTTGTTTCCATTCTGTGATTTTGATTTCCACTTTTCTATTATTTCTTGTCTGGTTTTACAACCTGTGAAAATTGCTGTATGTTTTTCACCGCAGAAGAAACATTTGAGTTTTCCGAGTGGAACCTTGTTGGTCTCTTTCGATATGTACTGGCATGTTTTCGAGTCATGTTGCTCAGAGCATCTGAAGCAAACAGACGGTTTGTTACAACCGTTTTGTCCATGACCAAACTGCAGACATTTCGAACATTGAGATGGTCCAGCTTTTTTTTTTGTTTTTTTATTTATTCAATTATTATTCTCAAGAAGGAAAAGCCACCTGAAAAGTATTTAAACTATTTCAAGCGGCATAAAAACCTTTATTACTCATTACTTAACATTTAAAAGAATTAATATAAGTTCAATGATATAAAAGAATATCGGTAAAGAACTTAAAACTAACGGAAACATTATTTAAAGCTTTAACGGTTTTATCATATTTGAAATTTGGTGTACTAGAGAAGTAATTGTGTCTCTGCTATAGTTTTGCTTGTCTATTTTTGTAGTCAGCCCATTCAATTTTGAAACTGCTGACAATTTTGATTTTTCTGAAGAATTCCAGGAAGATTCCATCTTGTTCTACATCTTTTTTGAAGTCCACGAGGTAGTTCTGGTCGTCGTCTTGTTCGTGTTTTTTGTGTTTCATTGTCATTTTGTCAATTTTTACTGGTTTGATTTTTACGCTTTGAAGTTCCTCTTTCAACTCACTGATTTTCATATCTGGGAGTCCATAGAGTACGTACTTCTTCAGTGGTTCTTGGCTGGAGTATGTGTGGAAGTGATGCTTATTGTCTTTGAGTTGTTGGATGAATTTCTCGTAATCATCCTAACTCTCCGTTGTAACCGTTTTTGTTCCTTGTTTGCCCTTTTTGGTCTCAATTAAGAAACTTCCAGGTTGATTGTTTATTTTATTCGACCACCTCTAGTTTTCACCAGCTCCACCTGTGCGTGTTTACGGAAATTGTCTTTTTTTGCTCTGATGTTTTGCTGTTTTCTCCCCAGTACGATGGAGTTGTCGATCTTTTTGTTTCCTGCTCTGGTGAACCAAATAGATACGGTTTTTCAGAAGAAATAGCTTTCTTCATTGGTGGGAGTTCGAACAGTGGTTTGTTCCCATCTTTTGGTTTGCTACTCTTTTGAAACGAGCGCTGGAAACTATCACTTCTCGAGGGCGTTTTTCTGCTTTACTCGCTTCATTGAGAAACCTCGTCATTGTTGTTTATTTTTTTGGCTTGAAATTTGTCATCTCAATGTCGGCTGGTTATGAAACATTTTTACTGATAATTTCCTCAATATTGAGAATTGTCACTGAAGATGAATGCTGTTGTTGAGAACTATTAAATCCATGCTGATTTTGAGAAAGATTTTCTTCGTTGTTGGTGATTCTACCATTTTGATGTTTTGAGAATCAAACTGGGATTTTGAAACTTTTTGCAAACAAAAAGCTTCTCAGGTAATCTCTGTTTTGTTTCTTTTGAGATTTTTGAATAATTTGCGGAGCGATTTGTAAACACGTCTGTTCACGTTGAGATCTCCAAAAACATTCATCATTTACACGAATCATTTATTTTTCTATGGAAACAATTTTTCTTTTGTGTCAACATTCTTGAGAACTAATAATATTTCATTACTAATCGTATCTGATCCTGTTTTATGCATACATTTATTCAGGAAGTACATATAATTAAATTATATTATTACTTTGTTCAGAAATTATTAATTACTAATGGTCGTAATTTTGATTATTTAATTGGACCGAAACAGCAAGAAATAAAATAAGTTACTTAAAAGCAGAAATTGAAACCTAGAAAATATTGAAAAAATTTATTAAAAATGTCAATAACACAAAGAGTTCAGGTAAGATTAATTATATAATTCGATAATTTAATTAAACTTGTTGCAAATTTCATAAAATTAAAACTTAATAATATCCTATGTTCAAGCAATGGGCAACTTTTGGAAGAGTATGGCATGTCTATGATTGTTCCTATCAAAATCCCTTCGATAGCGCTAAAGTAATAGTGAAGTATTTGAAAGGAATGCAAAAACCAATTTATCATCCAATGAGTAAGTTAATTATAAATCCAAAAGATAATGTCATAAAAAGTTTGTTTTTTAGATGACTGTGGAGATCATGTTGTTTGCATCAATACCAAACAAATAGCACTTCCGGGTGATGAATGGACTAAAAGAGCTTATTTCCATCATACTGGATATCCTTCAAGTGCTACATGGACGCTTGCATGGGAATTACACTCAAAAGATCCTATGATGATCATGAAGAAAGCAATTTATCGATCTTTAGGAGGAAATTTACAGCGCCGACATACAATGCAACGTCTTCACTTATTTAAAGATGATAAAGTTCCACAAGAAGTTTTAGATAATATTACGAATCAAATCAGACAGCTTAGACCAGTTCCTCAGAGATTAGATCATATTGACCAGGAAGTTATTGATAATTTCCCAAAAATTATGGACTATCCAGAAGATTACTTACCAAAAGCAATAAAATGAAACTATATAGCTATATGATTAGTATTATGAAAATAATAGTCTTTAAAAATTAAAAACCGTTGTGTATTATGTAAAGTTCGAGGATGTTATTATTACAGATTTATCAAACTAGTTATGCAAATGCTGTTTTCTGTTTGTCAGGCCTTACTGGATGCCAGTGATAATAAACGGATAAGTTTATTTAATTTGGTTTTCTGGTTAAAATTGTTCGAATCTGACAAGCAATTACATACCGTGTGAATATAGAAGTAAAAGCTTTGAGCCTCTTAGTCATTTGTTTTTATTGTGTGAATTTTCTTCGCCGCAAATTGTTATTTAAAGGTATGTCTTAATCGATTAATTACATTTATATATATATATAAATAAATATATATGTAATTTTTGCTGCTTTAGTACTTAATCACAATTCACACTTGTTGATAGATTGTGCTTATCAATTATTTCAAAACTCGGGCGATTAAATCAATTTTGTGGTTTTCGATTGTCAAATAATCATAAATATTGATTAATTTTGTAACATATTACTTAGTTTATTTCTTTAATTTAATCAGTCAAGATGCCACGTTTAAGCACAACCGATCCATCGTCTTATTCTCAACCTGAACTAGTCAAAATCAAGCATATTGATATTGACTGGTCTATTGATTTTGGAACAAAAACTATTAGTGGATTCTCTACAATCCAATTTGTTATCTTAACTAAGTTTATTGAAGAGATTGTAAGTTTTTCATAATTTGATCTGTCCTTATAAACCTAGGTAATAAAATTTTTCAAACTAATAGTTATTGGATGTTAGCGATATAAATGTTGAATCTGTAAACGTCATCAATGAAGGATGTGAAATTCCGCTGAAATTTACAATAACTGATCCTGTTAATGACATTGGATCGAAATTAACAATCATGCTGCCAACAAAAACAGATGGAGAGGTTACATTGAAAATCATCTATTCAACTTCAGCTAATGCAAGTGCTTTACAATGGTTGACACCCGAACAAACTTTAGGCAAGAAACATCCTTACGTGTTTAGTCAGTGCCAAGCCATTCATGCTCGAAGCATTCTACCATGTCAAGATTCTCCTTCAGTAAAGTTTACCTACAATGCTGTAATAAGACATTCAAAAGTACTAACTGCTTTAATGAGCTCAATTCGTCAAGGAAGTGAGAATGGTATAACACGTTACAGTCAAACTGTTCCTGTTCCTAGTTATCTGTTGGCCATAGCTGTTGGTGATATTCATTCGAAGAGAATTGGACCAAGATCACTAGTTTGGGCAGAGAAAGAAATTTTAGATGAAGCTGCAGAAGAATATAGTGATACAGAAACATTTTTGAAAACTGCTGAAGATATTTGTGGTCCATACTTATGGAAGGATTATGACTTGCTTGTTATGCCTCCTAGTTTCCCATTTGGTGGAATGGAGAATCCATCACTAACTTTTGTTACACCAACAACAATTGCTGGAGATAAATCACTAGTTGATGTTGTAGCTCATGAGGTATAACTGTAAAATTTCAATAATTTCAAACGTTTTCTAAAAAAAGATTTTGCACATTTATTAAAGATTGCTCATTCATGGACTGGAAATCTTGTAACCAATGCTAATTTCGAACATTTCTGGCTAAATGAGGGCTTTACTGTTTTCGTAGAACAAAAGATAATCGGTAGAATTCGTGGAAGTGAATACAGAGATTTTAGTGCTCTTCATGGCTTATCCGATTTAAAGGATACTATTAAAAATCAACTTGCAAACGAGCCAGAACTTACTAAGCTAGTTGTAGATCTTAGTAACGTCGGCCCTGATGATGCTTTCAGTAGCGTTCCATACATGAAGGGTAGTACCTTCTTGAGATATTTGGAAGACTTATTTGGTGGACCAATCGTTTTCGAGCCATTCTTGAAATCATATTTGAATAAATTCAAGTATGAGTCAATTTTAACAAAAGATTTCCAGAAATATGTTTATGAATATTTTAACGATAAAATCCCTGATAAATTAGAACAAGTTGATTGGGATAAGTGGCTTTGTAAGTGATTGTTTTTTTTATCTGATAATTTAATTTGATTAATTACTTTTCTAATCTTATGCAGTTACTGAAGGCATGCCAATAATTATTCCAAACTATGACACAAAGGTTTATGATGCATGCAAAAATCACTCTGATTTGTGGGCAACAAAAAGTCTTGATGAAATCAAAAGCTCTCCTTTGTTAAAGGAACAACTTACAAGCATTCAAAAAATTGAAGTTCTTTCAGAACTTTTAGAAAATTCAGAAATTGTTGATTTGAATGCAGAGAAAGTTGATCTATTGACAGCAACATATGAAATGTCAAAGAGTCGCACCAGAAATGCAGAGATTCGATTCCGTTTGATGCGATTAGTTATAAAAGCTCGTTTGCAGCGTTTTGACGAGATCTTCGATTTTGCAAACAGCAATTTCCGAATGAAATTCGTTCGCCCGATTTATAGAGACCTTGCAGGATGGGATATTGGAAAACCCGTTGCAATTGAGAACTTTAAAAAAGTCAAAGATCAAATGATGAAAGTGTGTGCATACACAGTTGCTAAAGACTTGGGAATTGATTTATAAAATTTTATACGCATTTTTATCTTGCTTTGTAATCTTACTACATGATGATAATATTTTTTTTCCTTTCCTTTTTTCTCAATAAAGAAAGCATAACTCAAGAATCGTATTTTGTTTGTAACACGTACACATATACATTTATACACAGCTCCCTTTACTGTACGATTCTTTTTTTCCTACCTATTTTAAGAGAAAGAGACAACTATATGTATAGCATAAAAGTATAGGTTTTTGAAATTTTACAGAGGGCTAGAAAAAATCATTCGTTGTTTTGCTTTCAAACGAAGCAGATGTTTGTGCATAAAAAAAATAAGAATTAAGGACATACATATCTAAAAAGTTTTAATAACATATTTTTAAAAAATAATAAAAAAAATATTACAATAATTTATTAAAAAAAAAAAGAACAGAAGCAAAAATATAAATTTGCTCAATAGTTCTATATGGTAATGGCAGATATACATAGTGGCCATATAAATATGCCACACCAATTTCATCATCATCGTCACCATCATTATCACGAAGGATTTTTGCAACCAACTCTTGTTGAAAATGAAAATCATCAAATGGATTTTAAATTTCCTCAAGGAATAAGTGCGTTTCATTAGATGACAATAATATTACAAATTTGAAGAGTTAAAATTTTTGGTTTTAAAAACATTTTAATTTTTTAAAATTTAAAAAGTGAAAAGTAATAAAAGCAACATTTTAATAATTTTTCTTCTATACAATATCCAATTCAATAGAAATGGAACCGAAAAAATCTCAATGCGTTGGTTGTTCACGTGAGATTCAAGACCAATATATTTTGCGAGTGGCACCTGATCTCGAATGGCATGCAGCATGTCTTAAATGTCAAGAATGTAATCAATTTTTAGATGAAAGCTGTACATGTTTTGTTCGCGAAGGCAAAACTTACTGTAAGCGAGACTATGTCAGATTATTTGGTACTAAATGTGATAAGTGTGGATGCTCATTCAGTAAAAATGATTTTGTGATGCGAGCAAAGACAAAGATTTATCATATAAAATGTTTTCGATGTACAGCGTGTGAAAAGCAATTGAAACCTGGTAAGAAATGAATATAAATATCTTTGGGCAGTAGCAGAATAGCTGTGAAGTAAAAAAAAAATATTTCTTAATTAATTAATCAAGGTGATGAATTTGCACTGAGAGATGGTGGTACATTATACTGTAAAATCGATCACGATCAAATAGAAAAATTAAAGTCTGAAGTTAAGCCATCGTGTCAGTTAACTGAATTAAACAACAATAGTAAAAACGACTGTGTAACTAATGATAATAATCAAAACATCAATAATCAAACTCCAATCAAACAAACATTGTGCAATATAAAACGTTCATCCTCTAGTGATTTTGGTTCCATATCAGGTAAAAAAATGGTTTTTTATAGTGAAATAAATTCAAATAAATGAGAATATATTTTAATAGATTCTGATAGTGAATCTGATTCATACAAATCATCAAATCGAAGAGAGAAACAGACACATACATTAAACGGAAAACCGGCAAGAGTGAGAACTGTATTAAATGAAAAACAATTGAGTATGTTAAGAGCTTGTTATGCCATGAATTCGAGGCCTGATTCACTAGTAAAAGAACAATTGGTGGAAATGACGGGACTATCACCTCGTGTTGTTCGAGTTTGGTTCCAAAATAAGAGATGTAAAGATAAGAAAAAAGCAATTGAGGCTAAGTTGCAAATGCAACAGGAAAAGGTAATAATTTTTTTTTTTAAAAAAAAGAGGAAAGGACAATAAAACTAATGGCTGATATTTATGTTACTCTACAATAGGAAGGAAAGATTTCATTTATGCATGGCATTCCATTAATAGCATCTCCGCCTGTAAAACATGAGTCGCCTATAAATTATCAAGGATACGAAGTTACCAAATATCAACCGCCATGGAAGGTTTTTTCAGAATTTGCAATGCAAAATGATTCTGAAAATGATACACGTACATCAACTCCTGCATTTCAACATCTTGTTAATCAGGTAATCATAATTTTGAAAAAACTGTATTATTTTATTTACAAAATTTAATCATATTCACATAGCTCCATGGATATGATCTAGGAGATGACGTTATCATGAACAATTATTCTGATCATCATTTAGATTGGCACAAAAATCGAGACAGCACAGACTCATATCAAGAAAGTGAAGAAAGTGTGGCTGGATCACTGTAACATTTAACGAAAATTTTCGCTTGTAATTAATTAAGATGTACACAAAACGAAACCTATAAAAAATACACTATAATTTTTGGTGTTTTTAAAAATGCCTAAGAATGCAAAAATGTTTTTTTTATGTAGTTTTATTTCAACATTTCTCACGCTTCATGCATGATTTCGTCTTTAGCAAAGCATATGACTTGAAATGTGACTCAATGGACACTTGACTTTTCTCTATGACAAAAATATGCGGGCGCCAGTCATTTCTTCTCATGTTTTGTGTGTTTTTTTAAAAAATTGTTGCATAATAAATAAGAAGTCAATGACTTGATATTGTATGAATTGGTGACTTTCAAAGGAGATATTTATATAAATCGTAAGCAGCCACAATAGAATCCACAAAAGAAATCTGGCTTAAAAAGAAAATCTCAAACAGAACAAAGAATCCATTAAAGCGACTTAAAGGTGATAAGCATGTCTTTTCCAACTTTTCGTGACGTTCTATCAAACATAAGAATTTTCTATCCTCAAATATGCGTGTCTTTCAGTCATTTTTCCATTCTTTCTTCACTTCTTTCCTTTCGTAAATCTCCATTGTTAAATCCTCTTTCGAGATTTTATTTCATGCAATTTTTATGCAGCAAAGAGAGGGAGATTTTTAAATCTGACTTCTTTTCCTCGCACGTAAGATATGTATAAATGGGAAAAAAATTCTCCATGTTCAAAAAAGATACATTTCGAGAACCCCACACTAAAACGTATACATACAATGTTAAAAATTCATAAATAAAATTCTCTCCTATAATAAAGATATAAGAAGGGAACAATATTAGGTACAATTACTTCTTGCGATGAAATGAAAGACAAAAATTTTAATGTGGTTCTTACAGACTTCCATTTTAAAGTATCCGGAAATGTATACAGAGAGACTTATTTTTATTAATATAACTTTTTCTTTATGTATACGGAGAATAACACCTATTTCCTCAACAGTCGCAGAAAAATAATTCGAGGGTTTTTTGCTCAATTAAAAAACTATTTTGTGAAAAGTTGAAAGAAAATATTCGTAAGGTAAGGTAACATTTCAACGACTTAGCACTCTTAATGTCAATTTTAATTTTGATGTTCAGTGCATCGATCTGAAAATTATTCTAGGCGCCACATTTAAGATAAGTCGAGACATAAATTTCTCATCAAACTAGATTCCAGAAACAATCAGCTCTTTTACCGCCGCACCTTTATTAATGTGTTACATCTTTCTATTGGGTTTTCGTCATTATCGGTCATCGATTTTCTGATTTTCTCGTTAGCTTAAAGCGGGAAATTTTTTTTTATTAATTTCTTCAAGCGTTGAAAATCTCATCCCAATGTGATTTGTTCATTTTGAATGTTCATTTGACATGCGATTGGATAATTTTGATATGTAATGCAGTGTAAAGCATTAACATTGAATCTGTTACTACTTTTTGCACTCAAAGTACATGAAAAAAATAGGATTAATGCGTTCCTTTGTGTTCATGTTTAGTATTAGACACGCATCGATGATGCATAATCCTATTTAATTTTAACAAAAAAAAAAAAAAGCACAATGAAAATGAACCAGAAGTAAGTATCTAAGGAATAAATGTCACTTTTATAAATACTATCTATGTTTTGTATCTTTTTATACACATTTACTTATTATATGAAATAGCTGCGTTGAAAAATAAACTCAATAAGAAACATATGAAAGAGATGTAAGAAATAAATTTAAAGACGCCCTATACAAATGTCGTATGAGATTTCATGCATGAAAAAACTTTTCATCGTATCACATGCAACCATTTAGGAAAAGAAAAACTTACTAATCAGACTGTCGAGGAAGGTGTTAAAAAATATATTAAAATTTTTTAATTTAATTATTATGTTGATAGATGCTTTTGGCACAAAATCTTTTACAAAATACATTTACATTTAATTTATGCTAAATAATTTATATCGACTTAGTGTAATGAGGTGTTTGGTTTTGAACATACAAAATGTACTAATTTCATTTTAGAAGTAAATATGTACAAAGTTTCTCTTCTGATGAAAACGTCAAGATCTGTTAAATACTTAGGCGCCTCGTGATAGTGAATGGCTGTCGATAATATTTGATATCAAAAACAGAAAATATAAAGGAAATGTTTAACATGACATAGTGACTCACACGATTTTTTTTTTGTATTTTTTTTCTAGACTATGAACTTATTAAATGGAATCAAATCGTAATGATTTTACGTCTATTTAAACAAATTTAAATATTTATTGAAAAGGATTCTAAATAAATAAAACTGAGCCAAAGAAATATGAAGCGGCAACTGCTTTATAATTTATCAAACTTATCAAAACCATGTTAACATGAAAGCATCAGGCATAAGAAAACTAATAAAGTGAAAAAAAATCAACAAATGTATTATGAAACAGCGAAAAGGAACTCACTATATAGTACTTTAAGTGGCTGTCGTCTAGAACGTCTTATTTGTTAGTAAGAAAGAAAAAAGGGAAAAATCCTTGATGCGGCAAAACCAAAAAGGCAGTCATAACACTTGGAATGCACATTCTTTTAAGATGTTTCCATAAATCATCACACGATGCCACTAAAAATATACCAGATGGATTCGCCATGAAACCACTTAAGTTTTATGACTTACTTTATGCTTTCTATCAGTACATTGACGAGACTGGCTCCCGATTTTTAACATTTTAACACAATAAATGAAATGAAAAGAGTATAAAGGATGTTTGCTGATTTCATTAGAACCGTCATGAGTTTTCAAGACTACAGCAGTTTAATGCATGTCATAAAAGTAAAGAGTTGGATGACATCTTGAAGTCCATCTCACAGCGTTTTTTTTTTTTTCTCTGCAAAGTTTCTTCTCTTGTTGAAGTTTCTGTAGTTGATTGATTGGCATATGAAAGATATGAATACGTACATGCTCAAATTTTCTAAAACCTTTTATTGCGTTGTGTAAATACGTTCATGTATTTAATGTAAAGTTACACCATATCATAGTTAATTTGTTGATGCATGAAATTTTCAATTTCAAATACTTATAAAGACTTCTATAATAAACTTTAGTCAATGGACAAGTCTTTTTAATCCATCATTAACTTTAACAAAACCCATATTAACCCATTCATGACGACACTTGAAGGACCTGAAAAGGATTTATACGATAAATATAAACATTCTCATCATGGGGTAAATGAGTTGCAGTTTTCAGTTAGCAGGTAAAATTTGAAAGGTACTAGCTGGAAGAAAATAAACGGAAATAAGTAAAAATTTTGCATTGAAATGTTAAGAAATTCTAAAAAAATTTTACAAGTGAAACAACAACAATAACAGAGTCATAAAATGTCAATAATAACCTGAAACGGAAGTGAACTGTAGGCGCCAGGTCTATGTCGCTTAAGACAGTTACTGAAAAATATTCGAGGCAATTTTGAAGAAGCATCACATTTCATTTGAGATATGACAAAATTTTCTTTAATCTGATAATGCCTGACGTCTCTATTCGATGTCAAGTTCAATATAAACATATTTTTAAGGGTCGTTTATATTTATTAGAAACACAAATGATGTGAATCATTGAAAGATGAGATTTTTTCTCTTCTTTTCAAGCTGTGAGGTTGTACATCAGTTCGTCTGTTCATTCACTAAACTTGTAAAAATTGTACAATGTTTTGCGTGAATCTTGTCAACGTTAATTTTTTCAGCATATAATTTTCAACTATTATTAATTAGGATCATCATGTCAGGAGCTGCCTTCTGGAAAATGATTGATGGTGCAATGACATATTCTTGTCTTGAAAAATTTGTTATCCAAACGATTGTATTTGCTATGCGAGAACATCGACAAAGATCTTATCCTTCCGTTCTTTTTCTATTTATTTAAGGAATATATTGTGGATTCATAAAATTTTGGCCAGACTTGAAAATTATTTTATTGACATGCTATTTATTACCTAATCGTGTGGTGCCAACAAACTCGACCACTGAATTTATTTGTATAACATGAGCCATCAAAATTTGTTTTATTTTGTCGTCCTTCATGAATGTTCTTTTTTAAAAATTCATAGAATTGTCTAAATGTTTCGATAGAAATTATTCAGGTGAATTCAGGTAAAATTTTCTAAACTAGATATCCTTTTTATGTCTTAATATCATATCTTTGTTATGCATGATTACTAATCTTGCAAAAAGTTGGCTATATTTTTCGAAACATTACGCCAGACACATTCATTTTAGAAATGTAAATACCTGTTGATATTTAATTATGGTCTATAAAAAAATTATTCACAGACATGAATACAATTGTATATTCAGTCAAATCATCACTACAATGAACTTTTCTTTACGCATGAACTTGGATTGTAAGCAAAAACCGTAAATAGGGAAGTTTTTCCTTTACTTTGTATCATTTTCCTTCAATGAGTACAACTTTTTTTTTTAATTTCTTTAATGGATATCGATTTTCTGGAGAACGTCATAGAAAAAATAAACCGGGCTATGAAATGTTTTGAACCCTTTATCCTCTTTCATGACATGATGTACAATACGGAGTATTAAAGTTGCCTGTTTTCATATCAATGTAAATTACTCCATTTGCTATTGCAAACAATTTTTGAGTTGAATTCAGTCCTATTTCACATTCATTCGTATCGATGAATGATATTTTGACTTACTAAATAATTCATGAATGGCTCTTTTTCCAATAAAATATTCCAATGCCACAGGATTTACATTTGAGGGGTTTATCTCCCCAACGCATATAGAATGAGCGTAAGGGAGACTTTTAAAGAAAAAACTTTATCAATTCCGTTCTGGATTATCTCTGAAAAAATTGTTTTATGTTTTCAAAAACTGCAGATACTCTAATAGAAATTAGAATCAAGTACAAGAGGAATTCGTGAATAAAATTTAAAAAAAAATCGTATTAAACTTTTAATTTTAAAACCTCATTTGTAGCTTGCCAAATATTGAATTTATTACTAGAACAAAACATGGTATAAAAATAATCTAAAAATTTAACGATATCGATTTTTAACAATTAATGTATTTAAAGGAAAATATCGTATTTGAAAGCTGCAAAAAAAGTGCAAATGCAACAAAACTTAAGTATCTTAAGAAAGTTATCAACCATTTTGTTAATGCGACCCCACAAAAATTTGTAAGAAGAAAAATCTGGTTCATGTCGAGCATGATGTTCGATGATTGTTTTTCAGGTTTTTCTACTTGTTTGCTTGAATTTTTTTTTCATTCTTTTGTTCTTTTGAGTACTGTGCGCGTACAAATGAGCGAAAAGTTTGATGAAGAAAAAAACCGAAAACAAATGCCTCATACTACCGTCTACACATCTTTTTCTCGTCCAATCATCATCGTTCATCGTTGCTTCTCGTTCTCTCTTTCAGCACAAATACATGTGTGCAAGTGAGATAAAATAATGATCAAAAATTCACTCGCATTACATTTGAATCGAAATGCCGTCGATAGTTTAGTTTCTTCATGACTTTTGATGGGGCAAGTTGATAAATTCTTGAATAATTTTTGCGTAATCGATGTTATTCAAATCTTGCGGATAATTTTTGCGTGAATTCATGATAAAGCTAGACGTTGTATGTCATAACAAAAATATTTTTTTTTTATAAATAACACAAAAAATTGAAAAATAATCAAAATAAAATTGCAAAGCAAATAGTGAATAGAAGTAATAGTGAAAATAAATTCAAATGGAAATCAGATCAAAAATTCGAAAGAAAAAGAAATTAAATTAAATATTTATTAGTGAATGATAAAATAATTATTCAGTGCCTTTTAATTAAAAACAACAAAATATTTTATGAGCGTAAAAGAGTTAAATAAATAAATAATAAAAATCGAGTCTATATGGTAATGGCAGAGATTCAAGGTGGCCCAATGGCACACCATCAACAATTATCAATGCATCATCATCGAGGAATTCAACCGTCTCTAGTCATGAATCATCACGTGGATATTGATTGTCATCAAACTGGAATTGAAATTCATCCGGCAAATATAAGTAAGTTGAAAATTATTTCCTCGTATGATTTGAATATTTCTACTCCAATTGTGAGTGACAATGTGGAAAACTCCCAGGTGATGATATGAAAAGAATAGTGCATACAACCCAAGAAAAGATAAAAAATATCAAGTTACATTTCGAAAAAATTGTCAAAGATGTAAAGTTGCTTTATTTACAAACAAACAGATGTGTCAATTCCAATGTTTTAAATTTTCTCTTTTGTTGAAGTAAATGAAAAACAACAACGTATTATGAAACTAGATCCTTTTTACCAGTGCTTAAAGAAAAAAATTAACAAAAGAACTCTTCATAAATGATGTACACCATTAAGGGGAGAGGGGGTTTGGAGCTTTGAGGTGGTAGGTCTAAAAATCTCGTTTTTTGATTAACGTCATTTATGAACAGTCCCAAAGATAGTAATCTTTATACATTTTATATATTTTTTAATAAACTTTTGTAAAATTTATTTAAATTTATTGAGAATAATTTTTCATTTTTATTTTGCAAAATGGTAAATTTAATTTTAAAAAGGTTCTTTTTTTTCTTTTTGATATTTTGCTTCCAATAATTGTTTTTTATTCAATAACCATTAGCGATACTAACTTATTTATTTGAATAATGTGCTTATCTTATTACAAATAATTGAAATTATAATAAAACAAATATTAAAAGTACTTATATTAAAAATATATCTTTTCTCAAAGCATAAATGAGAAAATCAAATATTTTTACTCAATTGTGGTGCATGTGATAATTTTAAATTTACGCACCACATTAACAGTCTTTAAAACACCTTTTGTTGGAGAATTTTTGTGACTTTTAAACTTTTCACGTCACCAATTTCTTCTTAAAAAAATAACAAATTTCATCAAGATTTCAAGCATTTTAAGAGATTGAAGTTGTTCACAAAATTTAAAAAATCTTCAATTTTGGCCTGGAATATTCTTTTAAACTTTAACTGTTTCTCTTATTTAAAATTAAAGTCTTTAAATATAAATTAAGATTAGCTGAATGAGCCAACATATTGAATTCTTCTTATTTCTTTGATTCACTCCACCTTTATGCATGCAAAATAATAATATTTAAAACTCTGCATTGAATCGATATTCTTCTTTTTATTTTATTTTTTATTAAAAAAATAAAAAAAATATTTGTCTTCATTTCCATAATCATGCAGCATAGATAAGCACAAACGTTGAATAGTGTATTTTTTTTATACACGCACATACAACCATTCGCGTAGCATTTTTAAGATGTTAGTAAACGTGTTGTATATCTTAGCACCTTTGAACCAAAAAGTGTCCAATTTGAAATACATTCAGACACAAAAATTTTTTCTGTCGCATTCATATTTTCAACAAAATTGAAATTTGTTATCAATCAATAATTAAAATTTATATTCGATAAAATCTTTTTCTTTTGAGAAGAAAAAGTTTAAAAAGATTAATTCCAGAACTCCTTTTATACTTATATTATGTAAACCCTTATATTATGGATACCGATATTTCAAATTCTTTGCTTGTATTTTGGGGATATAACTACACCTGTTAATTTTCAAAATTAGGAAATGATATCTCATGGTTTTTACTTATACTTATGATAAATTCTATAAATTTCTAAGATCTTATATGATATTGAAAACATAGTTTCAGATAAGAATTTTTTTTTTCAAAAATTGCCAGATAGAATTTTCAGATTGTAAGATTTTTAAATAAAAATTTAATCAAAATTTTAATGTTTTGAATATTTTTTATGCCAGCATCTTAAACAAATTCGTACAAAATTATTCATTTGTAAATTCAAATCCTAAATTTTTTAAGATTTTTACTCAGACTTACTCAGACTTGCTTGCAAGAAAGGACCAGAAATTAGTCAACGTAAGTTGATTCTACTACATAAATTTATTTTGAGGGCTTCTCCGTCTGCAAATGGCTTAAATTTGTCAAAAATCAGAGTTTCAAGTAAATTTAAAAGCTTTTCATACAAACCCGAATGCCACAAGTCGGTTAATCGATCAGAAATTTGACATTCTGATTCGATTAACCGACGATTATGCCATTCGGGAAATTATTTTCTATTTTTTTTTTCATTTTAACTGCACTTTTTTGCATTTATTGACGACATACTGTCCGGTAATAATTCACATTTTACACTTTTGTATTTATGAATGAACTAGTATTATGTAGGATGGTGTAGGATCAAACTTCTAATTTTCATATCTAGGTTTCAAATAAACTAAGGCTCTCGTTTCGATCTTCTGTGGGCGTGACGTGATACTTTTCAGATCCGTTCTAACAATATTCCATTCGTGGGTAATCTTGTAGCTCTCGTTCCTATTTCTCCCGCTACACTTCAAGTTCCTGTCCCGTTCCATAATCCAACGTTGCCCAAATGCTCAATTATGGCTTGATCTCGTACATTAAGCATTCGAAGTATCTAAACTTCCGAAAAAGAACAAATTTGGAAATGGCTGGATTCAAACCGACGACCTTCGAGTTACCATCCCAAATTTGAGCCAAGCGCCTTACCTATTCGACCAGCAAGGCACTTAACTGCTCAAAATATTGCGATTTGCTAAGTAATTTTATTAAAATATTTGAAAATTTGGTATCTCATGATTGAAATCCTTACTTTTTCAAGATTTATTATGAATAATAAAGACTTGAATGTATTTCATTTTAGTAATATATATTAAATGTTTAGTATTATTGTTGTGAATTTTTTTAATACCTAAAGTACAAAAAATAAAAGTGTTTTTTTTTCAAATAAAATAATTCAAAAATTAAGAAAATTTTTGTTTTAAAAAAATGACACAAATAAAAATGTATTTGTATTTTTTTATATTTAAATTAAGCAGATGATTTTTTTTAAAGATCGAAAAAAAAATTTGAATTAATTTTTTTCACAAAATATTCACAAGACTTGCAAATTGAAATTAAGAATAATATGTAAAAGGTTTTATGCAAAAATTATTCTTTCAAAACATGAAACACAGTGAGAAGGGAAAGAATAAAGAAAAATGCGATGCGCTCATAGCTTTTCATCTAAGGTGATAACGAAACATTTATTATTCAGAAGCTCTAAAAAGCCACCAAGAGAACCTTATTAAAAATTTATTTTTTTTTCTTCATTACTCCTTTTTCATCTTGAAGTTCAAACAAGAATCTATTGAGTCATATATACCTGCAAAGGAGAAAAGAAAGAAGAAACAAAACAGAAATCGGCTCTTTGAAATCTGATAACTGTCATTAAATATGTTAATGTCCAGCGGTTTTTCGTTTGTGAATAAAATAAACCGATAAAAACAATCAATTATGTCGTAAGTAGAGGAATCAAGAATCTATCTTGCTAAATAAGATGGAACAGAACAAAGCAAAATTGGATTTTTTTTTCTTTCTTTCGTTCAATATAAAAAGAGTAAAATTTGTCGCCTTCGCATGTAAAATATAACTTATAAATTTTACACTTTTTGTAGCCCCTAAAGATTGAATTTCATTGAGAAATTTAGGATGAAATTTATTACACCAACAGAAGCGACACGAATAATTAATTTTTAAATCTTGATTTGGTATCTAGATATGATTTTCTACTATATTGCGTTTCTTTTGTAGATTATAACGACTTAATTAATATAGCAATGAATTAATCAAATAAAATATTGATTATTCTACACCTAAATATTAAGTTTAATTGACGTAAAATTTTTTCAGAAGCACTATTCATTTATAACAAGACGTAGAAAAAATAAGAAGAATACAAAATTTATGATTTATGAGGAAAATATTTTGACAGATTTGTAGACTGAAAGCACCTGGATGCCATTTGATCCATAAATATAAATATAAGAAATCATATTAATGAATGGTTAGATAAATGCATGAAAAATGTTGGCATTTACAAATATGTTGTTTGTCATTTCAGGTCATAAAAATCAGATGCTTATGCTTCATGTGTGTTTTTTTTAAAAATATTGTTAAGCTATCGTGTGTGGCATAAAAGAAAAAAAAACAGCTAACTTCGTTACGAAGAGCTGGATTAATCTATAGATTTCATTTAAACAAATGCAATTGAACATTAAATCTATCCCGAAAAAAATTGAGATTTTAAATATCAAAAAAAAAGAAGAAAAGATTTTCTCGATAAAAACTTTAATTTCCCACTTTTCACTTTACATGCTCATTTTAAATAAAATTAATTTTATTCAAACAAGAAAAGAAAATAAATTCTTTATCCAAGCTTGTAATGGAATGAACAAGATCGTTTTTATTGCGGTATGAAAAATTGTTACCTAATTGTAATGAATTGCTGAATGCGTTGCAATACACATTTGAATATCACACATTCACTTTTAATTTGAATTTATTTCTGTTTCATCCAGATGTGAAAAAATAAAAATGTAGTCATCGACGAGAGTGCAAATATCTATACATTTTCATTAAATATTCATGCATTTTTTGCCTTTAGCCGCAATAGCTAAAAGCGAAAAATACACAATGGTAATGCGCATATTCGCGACTTTCAGATTTTTTTTTCTTTAACTGTACGCAAAAGCATCAATAAAATATTCGCAAAAACAAACTTTATCGTGTTTGGAATTTCTTGTTTCTGGTGCCTTTTTATTGTCTTTTTTCTTTATTTTGAATTGGCTTTCTTATTTTAGAATTCAACACTCATTGAATTTCCTATTTAAGGTTTAATTTTATCGATTCGAGCGAGTTCTTTGATTGCAAATATGCATGTAATCAAGGCTTTGATGCTTATAACAAAAATGGGAGGGCCATCGAAGGGGGTCCAGAAATTTATAAATAGAACATTTAATTCCATTCCTAAAATGAATACTATTTAGAAGCCTTTAACAAAAAAAGTTTATTTTATAATTACTTAAAAGATCAGTAATAATCAATCCATAATAACATTTATGCAAATTATAAAGTCAACAATCACTATAGAACAAAAAATATTGAAAAAATATATTTGCACTTCAATAGGAATAGATGAGAAGAAAATAACTTTGTTCAATGCTGAATAATTGTTTAAACAAACTAAAAAAAACGGAGCTTTGACGAATGTACTTTACTTAAAGATTTACACACATATTTATTTGTATTTTTCAAAAGAACTGGTTATATGTAGTCGACGCGACATTCAAAATGCAACAAACGTGGTTTTAGATGGAAGTAAATTGTGTCAATATTTACTTATCAATAAGCGCTTAGTGAGCAATTTTGTGGGAAAAGGCAATGTAATGTAAAGTATAGATCTTTTTTTAATAAAAAGTCATTTTGGTTCGTGTCAAGGTTCTTTCGGCAATAATCCAAAAAATCTGAATCATAAATTACTTAATTTCACAAGATCTGCAGTAAATTATGGAGAACAGAAATCTGAAAAATTATCAGCTCAAATTTTATTTTAATGTGTTAGTAATTAAACTTAATTGCGTTTTTGCCACAAAGTTCCGCTTTTTATTATTATTTTCATATTTTTATAGTTTTATTTAATATGGGACTCACAGTAGCATAATTTCACACAATTTCAAGTTGAAATATTTTCATTTCTACAACACAAATTTACATTGTTATTAATTTCATTTATGACTGTTTAAAAGAGGTGTGAAATCAATAAAGTTTTAAACAAATTTAAATCTTTTTTTCGGTATCTTTTTTATTTTTTCTAAATATTTTCATTCATGATTTCTTTTTCATGCTAGATTTATTCATTTCTGCTGTTTTTTTTAAAAAAACACACCGAGAAAAAAGACACCTACATGATTGTGCCTTCTTTATGGCAATAAAAAGTATGTGAGAATTTTGTTTTATTTTTTTTCTCTCTCCTTTCTATATATCTCCTTTACAAGTTCTCTTTACATACCTTGGCTGGTGATCGATCTCGATTTGTACAATCTATTAAGCTACATGTCAAAGTCTTTTGTTAATGATATAAAAATCGATTTCAAAAGCCCATTTCAATACACATTTTTTTTAACAAACAACCAGTTGCTGTTACTGCTCCTATAAACTTATAAATATCATGATACAAGCACTTTTGATGCTTTCAATATTAAAAAGGTTGTCGAACATATATGAAAATGATAATTTACCGGCAGTTACTTTCAGTATATAATATTTTTGCATATCTGATACGTTTTCTGGTAAATGAGCAAGTAAAAAAAAAAACAGACATGATTGCAACGATTTTAATGAAATGAAAATATTTTTAATGTTATAATTACTATCACTATTTTTAAAAAAAACTTAAAAAAATAAAATTAATTAAAACCTTAATCCCAAAAAATTCTTACGATTTTTTCTGATTGGATTTGTTTTGCAGAGAAGCAACGAATGTCCTTATGTGTTGGCTGCGGAGTTCAAATTCATGACCAATATATCCTCCGAGTAGCACCAGATCTCGAATGGCATGCAGCATGCCTAAAGTGCCAAGAATGTCGTCAATTTCTAGATGAAAGTTGTACTTGTTTTGTTCGTGATGGAAAAACTTATTGCAAACGAGATTATGTTAGATTATTTGGTACCAAATGTGATAAATGTGGGAATTCATTTAGCAAAAACGATTTTGTGATGCGCGCTAAAACGAAAATTTATCATATAGAATGTTTTCGATGCTCAGCATGTTCTAGACAATTGATTCCAGGTAATAAAATGAAATGTTCCTTGTTTTGAGATTAGTTTAATTCACTGTAATTTTTTTTTTAAAACTAAGGTGACGAGTTTGCTTTAAGAGACGGCGATTCGCTTTATTGTAAGGATGATCATGACGTACTTGAAAAGTCAACGCAAACAAATATAAATTCAATAGAACACAATAATAATAATGCATTACTGAATAATAATAATAACAACACCATTAGCACGATAAATAGCAATTCGAATCACAATTCTACCACGTTAAGCAATAGCAACAATCACTCAAGTGAACTTGGCTCATTGTCAGGTGAATTTTAATTGTTTATTATATTTTATTAATTATCAGTTTTCTAAATATTCCAATATTCACAAAACTCAAATAAACATCGAATCGTGAAAAAAATAACTTGCATGCTTCAAAAGAAATTGCCGACAATTTACACTTTTAAAAACCGTATCAAGCACTAAATATTTTATGCTAATAGTCTCCACAAGCCAACTAGTTTTATATCTCGAAATTTCATATAGTTTTATTAAGATACTTAAGTCTGAAAATTGATTTTGTCGTGAAAATGAAAGAAACACTATTTTTAATAAAGATATCGCATTGATGGATTACTGGAGAATCGGAAGAAAATAATGTGGCATATGTTGAAACAAAGATTTTATTGTTGATGACCATAAAATTTGAAAGTTTCTTTTGCTTTTTTCTTCTACCGTTTTATAATGTTTTCAATTTAACTACTTCAAGGCAGGGTACGGATCGTAAAAATTACTTTAAGTTAATGAGTTAATTAAGTTTGAAAAAATACGCAAATTTCATTTTTATTATTACTTCATCTCTTCTCAACTTTTAACACTTTAAGTTATTTTCTTGATATAAAAGTCATTTGTTTTCTTAAGAAACAATGAATTCAATTTTATTAATAAGGTGTGAAGCTACACAATTTTGTAAACTAAAATAAAAATTTACGCGGACGTCCCTGTTATCGTATAATAATTATTTTAAAAAAAATCATATGATCAACTTGTCAATCACCTGAAAGAAACGACAAAACACACAAATTGTATGTTTTCCCAAAAAAAAAAAAACAAAAATTAAAAATAAACAAACAAGGTCGTAACAAGTTGTAATTATCACATATTGATTGCAATGTTATCGGCTGAATTCTTTTTTTCGCTTGTTCACATTTTGAATTGTATGATGAAATGAAAAAGTTCTTATATATGTCGAAAAAATTTGGTAAGCTATTTAAATAAATATATCGAAAATAAATGTTCAAAAATCATCGATGACAATATTAGGTTACATATTTTTTGATATACAGTATTTATCTTTCTGTATTTATATAGCTCAAACATAGTTCTGTTTTGACTTTGTCTTCTTTTTCTTCTTCTACGCTTTGTATTCCTCAAAGATTGCCGCTCACGACAAATATTTATGAAATAAAATCGAAATCTAAATAAATATCTGCAGTCATCATCATTCACATGCTTATTTTTCTTCCAATTTTTCTTATTCTATTTCTTTTCTTTTCCTTTTTTTATTATTGGTCCATTTCTAAAGTTTCTTTTTTTCTTTAAACAATTTCTTTCAAATATTTAAAATAGAATCAGAAAGTGAAAGTGGATCTCACAAAAGTGTACGAAAACCCTCAGGACCTTCAGATGGCAAGCCAACAAGAGTGAGAACAGTTCTAAATGAAAAGCAACTTCATACCTTAAGGTAAAAATTGAAATGAATAATTTATTAAAAAATATATTTTTATTAGCAATGTTGATTTTTATTCAATAGAACATGTTATGGTCAAAATGCAAGACCAGATGCTTTGATGAAGGAACAATTAGTTGAGATGACAGGTCTTTCACCCAGAGTGATACGAGTATGGTTTCAAAATAAAAGATGTAAAGATAAAAAGAAAGCAATTCAAATGAAAATGCAAATGCAACAGGAAAAGGTTAGTTCTAGTGAACTGATTATTTTTTTTACAACCTTTTGACATTACTCTCGAGAATTTTTTTTAAAGATTGTTTTGTTCATTTAATTGAAATAAAATTAAGTTTTATATTTGAAAAAAAAAAATAGGAAGGCAGAAAAATGGGATATGGATCTATGCAAGGGATTCCGATGGTAGCAAGTTCTCCAGTACGTCATGATTCACCTTTAAATCTCCATGGGCTTGATGTTACATCATATCAGCCACCGTGGAAAGCACTTTCTGATTTTGCTCTACATGCCGATCTCGACGGTAGCAATGGTTCAATGAATCACACACCTGCATTTCAACATTTAGTTAATCAGGTAAGCCATACATTTCATATTTTGACAACAACAGTAGTAGTGACAGAAAGAAAACGAAAAAATTCTTGTCTTCTTCTTAATTATTCTCTTTTGTGTTGCCTTTTCTCGTCTTTTTTTTTGCCATATACGTTTATTATTTATTTCATTTTTCTTCAGCTTCTTATTTCTTCAGTCTTTTTTAATATTTATTTTTATTAAAAAATCTACCTTCTTTTTGTAAAAATGTCGATTAAAGAAGATGGCCAACGCAAAAAAATTTTTTGATATTGAGACGACATTTTGATTAGAATTTGGTTTATTTTATATTCACAGATGCATGGTTATGATATGTCTATGGGTATGCCTCATGGACCACTGCCACCGTCCCAACTGAATCAAATTACTCCTATAGATCCAAACACACATCACCATCCTGATAGCACAGACTCATATGTAACATACCTTGAGAGTGATGAAAGTATGCAAAATAGTCCTTAATGATAATTTTTCGTATCAGTTTTATACATAAAATGCCTTTTAATAAATACTAAATTCTTTTTATATACTTTAAATGTTTCTATATAACATCCAAAATTCATGACTTTATATCTTCACACATAGATCAATTTTGTTCCATTTCCCTTGAAACTTTTATTCAATCAATAGTTTTTTCAATATATTTTTCAAACAAGCTTCATTGAAAACAGACGAACATGGAAAAAAATGAAAAAGAATTTTCTTTGTTGTTGAATTAAGGTCATTGTACATTTTCATTTATTTAAAAATTTGTTCTAAATACAGGAAACTGAAAGATTCAAGAAAATTTAAATTTAAAGTCTTTACCGCAAAAGTATTTGAACAATCAAGAAAATTTTATATCCGCAAGATAATGATAAATAATTGTGTCGAGTGAGGACTTAATTTTATTATGTGTCTTTGTTTTAAATGTATTTATAAAAGATTCATTTTTCTATCACTGCGAATAATTTAAAACTGACAAGAAAATCATCAATGTCTAATTTTAATATATTTTAATTGGATTTCGATAATGAGATAAACATACACAATTGTAAAATCATCAATGTATATAAAAGATATGAAAAAATCTAATAAATTAAAAGTAATAAACAATTTATAAATTTTATAATTTTTGTTCAAACTTTTAATTTTACCATTTTCAGGCTCAAGTTCAAAATGTTAATAAGATGTTCATAATGTAGTTCATCAAAATATAGCCATCCCCACTCTGTCACAAAAATTTCTAAGAACGTAATAAGGTTTTCCCTCCAGGCTTCCCTCTTTAAAATGTAGATATCATTTATGAATTATCTCTAAATATAATTTAACATGCCAATCAAGATTTATAGATCAAAACATTCATTTTTCTCAAAATTTTGATTGCGCTCATATTGGATACATTCTCTGTATATGTAAACCTATGTAAACGTATTGGTACACATATAAGTATTGAAGTCAATTATTAAATGAAAATATTGTTTATAAAAACAAAAAAAAAACTATAAGAATTTAATTTCTTTGAAAACACATTTTTTATTCTCATTCAGATTTAGTATTGTTCTCACAATTGTAATTACACATGTCTTTAAAGGTTTTTAACACATTTTATTCACATCTAGATGCAAAGTTGCGCATTGAAAGCGAAGAAGTTTCATCTGTTCTTGACACATCATTCTTATTGCATATAACCGCCATCAATTACTTTTTTATTTTGTTTAATGTTTTGTTTTATACAGCAAATTGAAGCTTATACACTTACATCTCGGAAATGACAGGAAATCTTTAGAAAAAAAAGCATGAGAAATTAAAGTAAAGAGGAAATCAATTTTTATAATAAAAAGTGGTTTTATTAAACAATTTTCGATAGATTTTTTTATAAGTAATTGAATTAGAGAACAAAGTAAGTAAGTGAAATAAAGTATGTATGTGCTAATAGTACTTCCAGTTAAAGTTTGTTTTGGTTTGTTTGTGAAATTTAAAATTCATCTACTCATATGGACCATGCAAACTATCATAAGAAGCGTCAGGTGAAGTGTTCTGAGAAAAATTATTAAAAAAAAGTAATTCGTGAGGAAACTGAACTCAAAAGCTAATGTAAAGTTAAGCATGCAAAGATTTAGATAGTTTTTTTTATCAACATACCTGATTTACAATATCTTGATATGCAGGGGAATGCATCATTCCATTATTTTTCAAATCAGCGTTCATGGCTAAATCTGAAATCATTTTCCATTGTGGTTGAAATGAAGTTACATCAAAGCTTTGCAAATTGACCGGCGATTCTTCATTTCTTACTGGACTTGCTGCAATCAGTGGAATTCCATGCATCCGGCCATAACCAATTTGTTTCATTTCCTTTTATTTTAAATTAAAAATGATCAGAAAAATCGCATTGACAAAAAGTTCAATAATAAAATTTACCTTCTCTTGTTCCATTTGAATTTTGAGCTGATTTGCTTTCTTATTATGTTTACATCTCTATTAAATAGTAAATAAAAGTTGTGATGTATTTCATAAATTAAATTTAATGAAGTACCTTGTTTTGAAACCACACACGAATAACACGCGGTGAAAGACCAGTCATCTCAACAAGTTGCTCTTTCATCAATGCATCTGGTTTTGGATTCATTTGAAACCATGTTCTGCACAGAATATGAATGAAAAAGTTTTATTTTATTAAACAAAGAAAAATGTGTCCAAAAATTTATTTAATTAAGCATAATTGGTGAAAAAATTTGTCACTTTGTAGTTAATTGATTGAAAATATTTTTCCATATTTAGATGTGTGGTGTCTTATTTCTTTTTTGTCTCTATGCATCGTAGATTTTTCGGAATGCATGAGAGTGTTAATTAATAAACTAAAATTTTGTTGGCACTTACGTCAGTGTGTGCAATTGTTTCTCATTGAGTACCGTTCTAACTCGTGTCTTGCCATCACTCGAACCTGATGATTTCCCTCGAACACGTACATTTTTTGTCGATCCCGTTTCACTTTCAGACTCTGTTTGTATGTAAAATAAAGTAAAAGAACAAGTAAAAACATATTAGTCATAAATTTAATCAAGAGTCAGAAGTGATAAGAGCAGAGAGGAAATATTAAAGATCGACACTGGCTATTTAAAGTAATAAATCATCTTATGAGAATGATACTTTAAAAACGTGTATTAAGGCATGAAAAATCCATTCACATGATTTCTTCCTATTTAAAAACGTATCTTCTGTCCAGCACATCTTGATGTGTGTATATATAGAGACTCAAAGAGCATCATAAAGGGAATACAAGACGAAAAAGCAAATGTAATAAAATATCAAAAGGAACTCAAAAGTGGGTAATTTAGATAAAAGAAACATTCGGAAAATCTTTTTATGATCACTTGAGAGTCTAAAGAGATCCAAGACACTTGCTTCAAATCGTAAATAAGTATGATCATACGAATACTTGGATTGATGATAGAGGAAACTACATCATTAACATTTTTAGCATAATATAATATTTGAGATAGAAAAATTATTTAAAGAAATATTTTGAGAAATCAGATTGTTTAGGAGCTAGGTATCTTTTGCAATTTTTTCAAATGTTTTATCTAATTTTATTATTTAAAAAATAATAATGACAGACAGACATTTCCAGAGAAAACAGAAGAAGAAAAATTAAATATCCACTTAAACTTCATTTTTAAAAATGTTTTCAGAATAATTTCCGCATGAACAAAATAAAATCTTTTTTTAAATTATTGTCATTACGTTTAATGTCTTTAATGATAAATAATTTTTCAGTAAATTAGATGTTTTAGATACTACACGATAAATGACGGTAAAATTTCTTTGAAGATTTTCTGCTTAGGAAAGAAAGCATAGATATGAATAAGTCAATCACGATGACAAGTATTTTTCGTAACAACATGTCGACAACAGGAAAAATGAAAATGTCGCCAATCAAAAATTATCATCAACAAAAATGTGTGATATATTTAATGATAGCGCAATTTACCTGACATGGAACCAAATTCACTCGAATTATTGTTGCTACCCGTACTGTTTGTTGTTATTTGATTATTTCCGTCCCGGAATTCAATTCCCGATGAGTCCAATTCCGATTGTGCTAATTTATCGAGTGCATCGTTATCCATTTTGCAAAATAGTGAATTACCATCTCTTAATGCAAATTCATCACCTATATAAAATTAAAAGATAGACAAGAATTAAAAAATTTGCAATAAAAAGACGAGATTCGAATCAAATGAGATTCAAATGAAATTTTGATAATTATTTCCCTATCCATTTACCAACCTGGTATTAAATGACGAGAACATGCTGTACATCGAAAGCATTCGAGATGATAAATTTTCGATTTTGCTCGCATCACAAAATCATTTTTACTGAATGAGCATCCGCATTTATCACATTTAGTACCAAATAATCTAACATAATCTCGTTTGCAATAAGTTTTGCCATCACGAACAAAGCATGTACAGCTTTCATCCAAGAATTGACGACATTCTTGACATTTTAGGCATGCTGCATGCCATTCGAGATCTGGTGCAACCTGAAGAATATATTGATCATGAATTTGTCTTCCACACCCAACGCAATTCGAAAAATTTTGTTTCTCTAAAGGAATAAAAACAATAAAATAAAATTTTTAATGATTATACAAGATAACGGTGCAATGAACATTAATGAATTCAATTTATAGAAGTGAAAGGTATAATACAAAGATATTATTACAATATTGTATACATTTTTTAACCTTAATTAAACTCAAAATTTTGTTTTAATTTTAACAAATACCTAATTGATTTTTTTTTTTTATCAACAACGAAAGTCATTATTGGAATCAATTGAAAACAATTATTGATATACTTAAAATATCAGTTCAAATTCTTTTAAATACTTTTCTTCTACCAAAAATCCAAACTAAGGCCTCATTTGTATTTGTAAAATGAATTCTCTTTAATTTTTTGCAAAATGCAAATTTTGATGGAAAAAATTCACGCTATATTTTTTATATCATTAAGTTTCTTCGACTAATTGAGATTATTTTTTCATTCCTTAGTTTTTCCATAACTTACGATTAAATTGTCAAAAAGTAAAAATTACAAGAAGCAAAACTGTTAAACTACTGCATACTATATGTATGAAAATGCTAATGCTATAATATGCAGACTGCCAAAGTGAGTACTGTTAAGTTTTTTTTTCATTCCTGTTTATTATTAAAGATCAATTGTATTGTGCTTAAAATTTAATTCATATCTTGCATGATATCGGAAACATAGAAATTTTAACGTATTTTTGAAGCTTTTTCGTCACAGAATAAAAATTAAAATAGGTAAAGATATTCAAAAAAAAGGCAAGATTAAAGAAAAGATGAAACAGTGAAAGAGTAAGAAAAAATAATAAATATGCAGAAGAATCATTAAGGAGACTACAAGAACATGGATTCACGGCATCGCTATACACAAATGAAAATCTTTACAGATTGTGTACATAAACTTGATTTTATCTTGCCGGTAAATCTTTAAAAAGCGACTCAAGAGTGTTGCTCTCCTTACGTTCATTTTTCTTTTATTTTTTCTGTTAAGCCAACATTCCGTGTACTCGAATTGGTAGATTCGTATTGGAAGAGTAAAATATTCTTAGTCAGATCTGCTTCAGTCGTTTTTTATATTCCTTTATGTGTCTTCACATGTGACTTAATGCGATAAATATTTTTTTTTTGTTACGTGATACAACGTATTATATATTCACATTGATGGAGAGCTTAAAGAGTTTCCAATACATGCTTTCATTTAACTACTGTTTCAATTCTTTTTCAATAATCAATAACTTTATGCTTGAATTATTTATAGAAACTATTTCATTAAGGTTTATATATTTACTATGTCACAATATTTTAATTCTTATGACTTTCGTGTTATATCTCAGGATCCGTGATGGATTTTAATTCTAAGAAATTATCTCAAAATTCTACGAAGGAAATACCTAAAAAGATCAACGACTGTGTGTGAAGTAAAGGTCTGAATTAACCACCAGAAGACAGGAGAAGAGAAACATAAAAAGTTTCTTTTTCCGAAGCCGCAAGTTTTATTATTTTAGTGTTTTTTAACACGTAACCTGTTTATGTTTATTTTTTTCCTTTTTCTTCGGTTATGTTGCTAAATTTTCGCGTATATATAGCTCAAATACAATCACATAATAAATGTATGTTTGAAGTTTGGATTCTGATCAATCATGATTAGCTTATTTCAATTCTCTCAATTTTTATTTCAGTAGTTCTCTATATGACATTGTTGTACAATTTTATCCCTTAAATTTTATTGTCAATGCATACAGTTTGATACTTTGGAACCAAAAGAAAAAAAGCCGCATTAACAAAACATCATCAATCTTTCATCTATTCTCGTTCCTTCTTTAAAAACTGGTTGACTTCTGATGATGTAATTAAATCAAATAAAATAAATAAAAGATCATTAATTACATTAATAAAATAAACAGCTACAAAATATCATAAAGATGGTAAAAAATGCCGAACAGAATAAACGCAGTCAAGAGAAAAATAAGAAAAAGAGACTTGCGCGATCTTAAAGAAAAGACACCGCACATTCAACTCAAATACCTCTTACATATTCTAATTTTTATTTCATTTCAGCGGCATCATTATCACTTTTTTATATTGTCTTTTTTCATACATAAAATTTAAATCATTCAATTTTCGAAACACAGTGCTTTGTGTGTGGAAAGAGCCAGAAACAAACAGACCTTAGATTTTAAATACAGCAAAATGAATAAGAAAAAAAATGTGATTCCTTGACTTCTTAAAGAATGAATCCAAATAAAATTATTTCATGTGTTGAAAAGCAAAAAAGACGATAAAATATATTCGTTATTCAAAGAGCAGGCAGGTAAACAGAGGAATTCATCACAGAAAACAAGACTTGAAGAAAAGAATGTCTGTTGCTTCTGCTTCTTATTCACTTTTAGTTAATAACGATCGGTGACCAAATATAACTTTTCTTTTTTCCTTTCCGTTCAGAAAATGTTAATTCCTCCAGTATCTGATTAAATGTATAATAAATTACATGATTCAACAAGCTCCTAGTTCTATGTCCCATGAACAGTAAAATCTCGTCTTTAACATCAACATATTTTACGAAAATCAATGTTATTGAATATGTTGGTTGAAGTGACCGTAGAAAATTACGATCCCCAAAAAAGCATTTCGATTTTTAGCAAATGTGAACTTTAAACTTCTGAGTTTGATCACGAAAGACAATCGCTTATTAAGATAACTTGAGATTAAAAATCATTTACCTTAAAGATTTGAAAATTTATTTAAATTAATAATACAGAAATTCTTAATTATTTGTTGAAGCGGCAGAACCAAAGAATTTTTAAAATTTTGAATGGGACAGTAAATATAAACTTTAATGTAATTTGTGTACCACTAAAGCTAAAAAATTAATTTATTCCAATATCGTTTTTTCGAAAAGATCACTAATTCATTAGTCCGTTTACTTATGACATCAATTTTAGAACCCCTCCCCCCTCTGTCACAAAACTGTCACAGATGTCAATACCCCCCACCCCCTATTTGTGACGTCCAATCATAGACACAAAAAAATATAATTTTATCACAAAAAATTGGATGTCACAAATTTCCTGACCCCTCTTCCAGCATGTCACAATGTGTCACAAATTTTCAGACCCCCTTCCCCCTCCCCCCGTGAAAGAAAAGTACAAATGGATAAAGTCGAATGGACATCTGAAACACTCCCAATTTTCCTAATATCCATTTATACTGCTGACAGGACTTTTTCAAAAATCATCCAAATTTTATAAATTATATATTAAAACAAATCTACTTTTTCCGAGAGAAATGAAGAGCAAAAAATTATTGCAATCAGACTTTTAGATTTTGAGATATTTCACTTCCAATTTTTTTAGACCAGTTTTAAATGGATCTTACATATCAACTTTTCGAGATTAACTTTAATAATACAAATTATACATTAAATTACATCTACCTTTTCCGAGAGAAAACGAGATGCAAAAATTATTTTAATTTGATCATTCTCTCTCGAGATATATGCTTTCAAACCTTTCGACGAGTTTAGATTTTGGACACAAATGATCAACTTTTTGATACACATAGTAATTAAACATATTATATATAAAAAACATGTACTTTTTCCGAGAAGATACGAGAATATCTTCATTTTGACTTTTAATATTTGAGTTATCAGCATCTAAAGCCAGGAATTTATAAACAAATATTCAGGTAAGGAAAAATCGTGAAAATTTATTGAAAAATTTTCAAACTTTATCAGTTTATTGTTTTTTTTTTTCATTAAAAATACGTGTCACAAAGTTTTCAGCATTTCAAATTTCAATACCTTTTGAAAAACATACTATACTTCATATTTAAAATGTATCTTTAAAGAAATATAAAAAGTAGATATGTTTTAATATATAATTTATAAAATTTGGATGATTTTTGAAAAAGTCCTGTCAGCAATACAAATGGATATTAGACGAGTTTGGGCATCTCCAGATTTCAGAAACTAAGAGGTCTCGAAAAATTCTAACTTCTTCTCGGTTTCTCTTTTGGAATACTCTTGGAAAACTGGGAAAGTTTCAGATGTCCATTCGACATTATCCATTAGTACTTCTCTCACACTTCCCTCCCATAATTGCTGTACGTAATAAGTGAACGATCCCTTATTAAATCTGTATTCTTTTTTTTCAAATTAACAACCTTTGAAAATAAAATTGCAAAAGTTCCAATTTTTCAACTGCATGCCTAATGTACAATAAAACTATAATGACTATCTGTGGTGCAAAGCGTATACGGTTTTCAAATTTAGTACAATTTTGAATATTTATGGGATTCTATGACATAAATGAAATAATAATTATAATTTATTAATTCTCTGCACTTCAGATTTCATCTTGAAAATTGCCTTTCTTTAAAGCATTAAAAAATTATATATTAAATTTATGACCAGCGATTGTGCAGAAAGAAAATAAAGTTTATATGAAACAAAGTGCCGAAACCACCTACGAAAATGTCATTCGCATGTAACCAGAAATAAATTTCGACGCACCTTGTAAGCGATCCAACCAGTTTTGTTTTTGCAAAAGAAAAGATGTTTTCAATTTAATTATTTTGTTTCGATACATTTTGCATATTTTTGAGAATACAAGGTTTTTCAAATAAAGTTGGTATAAAATACATAAAATATTAAGAATAAATATATTGAAAACAGTGGCAGTTTTTAAACCAAATGGGAAAGGAGCATGAAAACTCTATGTTATATTATTTGAGAAAAATTGACGACTTACATCAGTAACGAGTAAAGCAAATATGTATATTACCGACCTATTCAAATTATTTCCAATCATTTGTTTAAAATTCTGAGGTTCACCACTAAAGTCATATATCCACATTATTTTCGTCTTCTTTATTATTCTATTTTAGGAAAGGAAAAAAGTTATTTGTCTTTTTGTTCTTTTTCAATTCTTTTTGGTTTGGGCGCCTTTAAAATTCGTAAAAAACTGAGAATAATCTTATCTCGGCGCGACATTTTTTTATGACTTTGATTGTCTGTTCCTTTCTCGCTTATTTTCGGCATTTGTATAGAGACAAGTAATTGGAGATTTATCAACACAAAACAAGAATGAAATAAAATCGAATAAAATTGAAAAAATAACCACAAAATAATCTATGCTCAAATTATCTTCTTGTGAACAAAAAGTCAAAGGGATTTTTTTGTGATGAGTCATTCGAGGGTGACTTTCTAACATTCCGTATTGGTGTTTCATTGAGTAGTAGTCTAAAATTCCAAAAAAACCTTCGGAATGTGTTCGAATTTAATTTTGTTTCACAAATAAAGTTTTTTTGACATCTTGAATAAAAGTTTAATTTAATTCATAATTCTTAAAGGTGTAAAAAATCATGGAAAAACTTAGACCCAGTTATTGTGACAAAATAAAAATAAGACGAACATGCGCAAATGCGCATTTATTAGTATCCGAATTAAAAAATTCACTTTTACGTTTTCGTAGTATCATTTTAAACTCAAATTATTACAGTATAGTTCCACTAATAATAACACTTCATATTATCATGTTTTAATAACACAGTTTTTTGCATATTTTTCAAATTTTAGATCATAGTGCATTGAGGATCAAATTTAAAGGTAGAGATTGACTAGGAATGATAAATTTTACTGCTTTTGCTTAACATTAATTTGTTAATGATAATTGGATTATAAGCTTCACATAACTAATTATATTTTAATGTCTTTTTACTTGTTTTACAGTTGTCATAAATATTGTAAATTTTTTTTTTTATTTCACTTCCTATAGCTTGACTTTGTTATATATACTTACTAATATTTGTAGTTAATATAGGATGAATGTCTTCCGAATGGTGGTGATGGTTCATTATAAATGAATGTTGTACTAGATCACTATTACAATTTTCTGATTGCATTTGGTGAGCCAAATGGCCACCAATTGATGTCATTACCATTAAAATTTTTTTATATTTTCTATTTTCTAACTCACAAATATTCACATTTTTCACTTTTTCAAATGTTTATTCATATTTGATTCAATCATTAGAATTTTTTTAATCCAATTTTAGGTATTGAATTTTTGCGAGGCACTTTGCATTAATTAAAATTCCATCAAATTTTTATGCTCTGACATGAAAATGTGTATGTTACAGAATTTCCAAGCATAATATTTGTTTTAAAAAAAAGCTTGTGTCCAATTTTGTCCATGAATCGAAACATGTATGTTTATTTATGAAAATTGAGTTTGTTTCAGCATTATATTAGGACAATAAAAATATACGAGTAAAAGCTCTTCCCACTAAACGGTGTCAAAAATTTATGACATCTTCTTGCGTAGAATAAAAAACTCACAAGAAAAAAAAACTTTCAGAAACTTTTTATATTATTTTATTTTCTTTGTGCCTCCAATGTGCTCTTTTATTATTTATGAGTTTCGTGTTTGCAAATGTCTGTGTGTGTGAGTGTGTATACAAATATTACACACATCAAGAGCTTATTTGCCCTCAAGCAGATGATGATGATGATGATGCAGTTTTATGTCACGCCAAAAAAGGAACGAGAGAGAAAAATTTTAAAAATTTATTATCACTTGAAAATGCAAAACGGCGAAAATTAATAACTTCTTGCCCTGCCAGTCAACACTGAACTAAAAAACATTGAGAATAATTTTCCAAAGCGATTATTTTACCATCCGTCCTATTCTACAGGCTTTGCGTGTGTTTATTCATGTGTTATAGTCGTTCTCTTCATGCTCATAAATACGAATGTAAGAAAGAGATAGCATTGAATATTTGAGACGGTTGTCGACGACTATGGCTGGCTTTCGAGTGGTGGGTGGTGTTGATTTTCAAGATCGAAAATAATAGTATGAGTTTATATGCTGATTGCGCATGTTTTCGCCTGATTCTAAATCATGATTAAAGCTCTTTTTTGTTTTTTTTTTTTTGCTATAAAACGTTTGCTTTCCACTTTATGAATAAAAAATTCTTTACTGCTCCAAAATGGTTGAAACAACTTTAAACATTTAGGCAGAAAATATTAAAGCCGTTTTTCTTTTTTCAATCGATAATTCTATTTACAAGAGTACGAGTAAATGGAATCATACCGCTGCTGATTCAAGTTAAAGTTCAACACTTTCCATTAAACATGACTGAATTTTTCATAATGTCATTTGTGAATATGAGCGAATTTAATTTAGTTTCGGGAAGAAAATTGATTTAAATTAAATAAACTGGTACAGAACATCGTTTCTTTTATCTTATACGATATGAAATTGTGCTTATTAAATTATAGTGGATTCTTTCAATAAGGAAACAGCAAAGTTTTGTCACTTTCTTGAAAAACCCTCTTAAAACTATATAAAGATTGCTGAAGAATATATTCTCTTTCTTTGGTTTTTGGTGAAGCCTAAACGTAGCTTTTGTTAAACAAGAGAAAAGAATTTATTGGAATAATTTTGAATAAAATTTAAAACCTGAATATTGTTTAAAAAATTAATAGTTTTTTGCGTTGACAAATAAATATGGACAAATTCTTTAATTTTAACTTGTTAAAAATGCAAAAAAAAATTATGACCTTTTTTACACGATAATTACTCTAGTTTCCAAGTTCATTTATGCATCATAAATCTAAAAAATCACACATGAATTTTAAACATTTTTAGGATTTATTTTGGGATTTAATCGAAGTTATAGCCATTTAACAGTTTAAATAATGTGTAAGATAGTTTTTTTTTCAAAAAAAAGAAAATATGCATATCTACCATCTAAAATTGTAATACGTTTCTTTTAATATTATAAAAATTTGGAGTAAGATAGAAAATCATAAACATTTCATGAAACATGAGTTTTTTTAAATCGATTGATTAAACCCAAAATTTTAATCTTAAATTCAATTTAAGTTGGAAATGCTTGAATATTTTTGTCACTTCATGCATTTCAACTCACACAAGTTCAATTTAAAACGACTTCTTCCTGTTATTTAAAGTATGGATCGATATCCATTAGGAAAATTAAAAAAAAATGTTGGTTCAACTTTTCTGCTACTACCAACTTTTCCTTTAAAAATACGTACACATATATCTTTTATGTGCCTTAGTCAATTTTCTTGTATATATATTTCATTACATCGAAAATAAGGTGAGGGCTGAACAGACAGTTCTACTTGTGCTTACCCTCATGTTTTTTATGTTCAAAAATTTAATTTAAGGATAAAACAGCTGAAAGATAAATGAGGATTGCTGTAGAATGAACCTAATGTACTAAACATATAACCTTGAAAAAATTTATGACACTTTTCACTTCAAACTACACATTTTGACTAAAGCACATTTTGTTAAAGATAAATTTTTAACATCTACGAAAATCTCATTAATATTCATTGAAATTCCATTTTCATCACACACAAAATTATGAGTTATTTATATGCATGCATGCAATCAATATATTGAAAAATTAATAAATGCATATAAGTATAAATAATGAGGTTAATCATCTGAAAAATAATTTGATGTCTAGTTGAGTGCGAATAAACATCAATAGAAGCATCAATACTTAATTCAATTGAAATGCATTGAAGCTTGTGCCGAAATGACGGCAAATAAACAAACACAAAATTCTTAATGTATGTCCTAAGATAGTTGATAGAGACGACATTTTGTATAGTTTTAATTATTAATTTGTTAACAATTGTCTAATGTCTAAATAAATAAGTGTAAACGAGGTGATAAATAGGAGAACTAAGTTAAGGAAAAGCATCGAGTTTCACCATATTAGTCCTTAATTGCCTAATTATCGGAAAAAATTCAAAACAATAGAAGCAAGAACAAAAGAATTTTTAAATTTTACATTTTAAAAGCAATTAGAAGAGCTTAAACTGTCATCTATCGTGGAAAGTATTCCTGGATTACAAAACTTCAACTATCGTCAGTCAACAAATCTATAAAGCAAATTGTTAATTATCAAAAATACAAATAAGAAAGAACAAAAGATTCCATCAAAACAAATTCTCAGGTCACATGCTGTGTTGAATTTGTCAGTTTATGGTGAATTCATTTTACTTCAAAAAATTTATTTAAAAATTTAACGCATATTTGGTGAAATTGCTAATTTTAAACACATATTCAACAAGTTACACGCTGATTTAATTATCAGTAATTATATTCTAGTGATTTAATTATCACGTCACATGTAAACCTTTGACTTAATTGTCAACGTAACTTAACGCTGACTTAATTGTCATCTGCTCATCATTTGTGACTTAATTGTCACATTTTGTCGTTCAGTGACTTAATTGTCACGCTTCCAAAATCATCGCAATGGGAGACGAAGAAAACTTTTTCACTCCAAAGTCGAATCTTTTAAGATCTCCATTAATTAAATCCAAGACATCTGAGTCCACCAATATCACTGAAAATCTAAGGAACAAGAATGAAAAAAGAAGAAGAGTTGAAAACAATAATAAATCATTCGATAATGAAATGGATGAGGATGAATCACCCGAAATAAACAATGAATACTTATCAAAACAGCTAAAATCTCTCTATGAACTGATGGAATATACTGGAAAAACGCACAGTGATGAGATCTCAAACGCAAAGCTCGAATTATCACAGAAAATTCAAAATATCTCCGAAAAAGTTGTGAAAATCGAAACAGAAGTTGATTCACTACAATCCAAAGTCCAGCATATTGATAATAAAGTAGAGAGTTCATCGAAAATGGCTGAAATAAATAAGAAAATGATTAATAATATGATGCAAGATAATATAAGCAAATGTATGGAAATTGACGGTTTAAGAGAAAATGAAATTAACAACGCTACAGATTTAAAAGTACTAGCATTGAAAATAGTCAGATCATTTAATATTAAAATAGATGATGGAGACATTGATAGGGTTGTGAAAAAGCAAATACGTCAAGACGAAGATGGTAACCCAAAAATAAGACACATACTGATTGTCTACTTCAAAGAATTTGAAACAAAATTAGGGATTCTAAGAGCAAAAAGGAATCTCAAAGATGGCAGAGAAATATATTTCAATGCCTCGCTTACTGCCACAAATAGATATTTCATGATGAGTGCGAGAAAAAGGGCAAGAAAGGCCGGATTAAAAGCGTTCTTTTCTTGTGGAAAGGTCAAAGTTGAAAAGCGTGACAAACAAATCCTTGCAATTGAAAGTGAAAAAGATCTTATCTCTCTTGATAATTACATCAAAGAAACACAACAGCAGCCACAATCTCAAACATCTAATATGTAGCAATCAAAGAACCTATCGCAAATGCAATCAAGACCTCAACCCTCAAACAATTTTCACCAGAACCTCAAGTCTCTTACAAATTCCTCAAATCTAATAAACGGCCTTGTAGTTATGCAACTGAACGTGAGAGGACTAAACAGCACCCAAAAGTTCAATAAATTAAAAACAATGATTTCAAAAATTCCCTACAAAATCGACATTATTATTCTCAGTGAAACAAAACTGCTCTCTAAATTTCCATCACAGCTGTATCAAATTAATGGATTCAACCAGCATAAATGCAACAGAGATTCTAAAAATGCAGGTGGTGGGCTTCTGGTATTTGTAAACAAGATGATCACAACTTTTAACGTCAAAATTTTATCTACTTCATTTGAAAAAATAGTTTTAAATCTGAAAATTGGTCAAGCAACTTTTAAATTTATTAATGTCTATAGAGCTCCTGACAAAAACAATTTACAGAACTTTCTACTAGATATTGAGTCTGAAATTAGTACAGATGAACAATCGATAATAATAGTTGGTGATATAAACATTAACAGCAATGATAATGATAACTCAAACGATGCAAAGACGTATAGAAATATCTTAAAATCTTATGACATGAGCGTATCTAACATACATCCATCAAGAAATGCCAGTAACAAAACAATCGATCATTTTGCTTGCAGTCATCATTTAGCAAATCTAATACAGAACCACACAGTTTGTATCGATAGCAGTTTCAGTGACCACAATATGATTATATCAGTAATCAAAGACATTAAGATTAAAAATCGTAAACTGTTAAAGGTAGTAAACAGAGTAAACTTCTTCAAGCTAAAACAGGAATTCCAAAAAATTCAGACTGCACACATCTTTGATCTTAAGGATCCAAACATCATTGCTGAAACTATCACGTCGCTAACGCAACAAGCAATAAAAAATTCTACAGTCCAATTTAAATTTCATACCAGACAAGAAAATCGTACATGCAACTGGCTAAGTTTTCAAAGTCTAAAGCTTCTTCATAAAAAACAAAAAATCATTAACAAACTGAGAAAAATCAAAAGGAAAATTTCATTTCAAAATTCAACTTTTAATCTCAAGAAACAATTAAAATTAGTCTCAAAAAATTTAAAAAAACACATTAATACAGATGAAAAGAAATCCTACTCAGCTTTATGCAATGAGCCTGATCCAAAAAAGCTTTGGAAGAATATCAATAAGATACTAGGTCGAACTAAAGAGAACAGCATAAAGGCAGTATTTAACAAAGAAGGAAACATTGTGACGGATAAATTAGAATTAGCCAACTCATTCAATGACAATTTCATATCAAGCATAACAGACATTGTAAGTCAATCACCAGTAAGCTCCAAAAACGTTCAATTTGAA